CTCCCAGAATTGGAGTTGGCTGGCTGGGGAATTCTGGGAGTTGAAGTCCACTCATCTTAAAGTGGCCAAGTTTGGACAACACTGACCTAGAAGGAACTTGCACTGGACATAAACTGTACTACTGACTGAGTGGGACCTTCCTCTCCAAGCTGTTCTCATTTCTGGCTTCTGTACAATAGCAACTGTTAACCTACATAAAAATGCATTTTCCTTAAAAAGGCACTTTATTAGCAATAAGTTACCAGTTATTTGAACCTCACTGTGAAGAAACAATGACTGACATTTATTTATTACCAGTAACAAATCATTTTAAAGCATAATCATTAGCTGAAATATAATTGAAATGTAATTTGAATGAATTGTAAATTGCTGATTAATGGGCTGTTAGAGCAGAAATGTCATTCATTATTTTCCTTAAGAATAGGTAAACCTTAACATGCTTAACATCCTTCTTCACAGATTGTTTTTTCCCCTCTCTCTTTCCCCCCCAGCTCCACTCATCTCTCGCATACACAGCACATACCAAAGGATATCTCACAGAACACATCTCTGATTTCAGTTAGGAAAAGAAAAATCCTCTCATGAGCTTTATTCAGGGTTATCAGTGTCCTAATACTAAAATTGGGTACATGTTTTTATATACTGTATACATAGCATGTGCTCAGTATGCTATAATAATCTTATTAAAACAGCAGGCACATCAAATGAGTTCACTGACCTTACCAGCAGATTTTAAAGTATTAAGTCTTGAATTATAGTTCTCCAAAATGGCATTAACTAGTTTGCAATTTTGTGCTCCTGAAACATTTTTTTAGCTGTGCCCTTTGTGTGTAATCTAAGGAGTAATAAAATATTCCAGAAACATACTTAAACAAGTATGAATATAAGGTGTGCTATATTTTAAGTTAACAAAATGCATTAATTTTCTTCCTGAGAAGTTATAACTCCAAAAAAGGATGCTTGAAAAAGAAAGGAATGTGTTTATACATGTGTTTGCTGTTCATTTTTGCAAATGAGAACAATTTGAACAAAGTAAATACTGTATGGTTACAATTCAGCACCAGCATTTTATGCTGGAGAAGGATCCGTTCCATATCCATTTTGAAAGAAGCTCCCAATATTCCCTGCAACCAGTCATTTTACTGATAGCACCAATGACCTACATAATAAGTAGGGAGACATGTCATTATATCCTTGAGCTCTATGTAGGACTATACTTGAAAAGTGTTTAGACGTTGCAACTAGGGCAAAACATGACCGTGAGAGTGCCAATGAATCAAATTACAGAGAACAGATGATGCCTGTAGTGGAAGCGCTGTGGTGATTGCCATTTGTTTGCCAGGCATAATTTAAAGCACTGATATTAAGCCTTAAACTACTTAGGATGTCTGAAGATGTCTCCATTGCCAGAGCCTTTCTCATCTAGTGTGCTGTGGAGAGTACTAAGTATATAGTACAACAGCCTTGGCTGCTTTTGCATGCAGGAAAAACCAAAGAGGAAAGATGAAATTTTAGTTCATATGATTTAAAAACCCTCTGTGTTGTTTGAACCTAAAAAAACGGGCCGTAAGCTATTAAAAAATGGCCCAGAAAACATAAGAAAGCAGGTTACAGAGAGAGATTAATAATATTCTAATAATTCCATATAAAAATTATACACACACTAATACATAAATGGAAGTTCAGTGCCCTTAACCAGTGCTTTCTAATACTCTAATACTATTAAAGCCCCACCGATGTTGCAGTTAAGTTGCATGACAGTCCTCATGTAGCTTTATCATTACCCATAGAAGCCAGTGATAAGTAGAGGAAGCAGCTAGTTTCTGCTATCACCATTCCAGGCACTGAATCAAAAGCTGCCTTCAAATCAATGAAAACAGCATAGAACATTCCTTGGGGACACAGAGAGTCCTCCAGGGCATAGTCATCCCTTGGAAAAACTATTATTAATAATATTTATGTTTCAAGTTGTCGTATCTACTAGTACATTACTACTACATCTTTTAAATACAACGACTGCAAATGGTCAACAAAGAGTCAACACTAGTCTTTAACTGGACTTCATTATGCAGTGATAGCCTTAACAATGACAACGGAGGAGCTTACTTTGTAACGTTGCTGAAGTAGTGTAATAGTTGAATGGAACTTTTGAGACCAGAAAATCTTCTGAAAGGCCGGCAAGGCATTTCCCAATTAGCACTGTTTTCCCTACTCCAGCATTTCCAACCAGCATCACTGGCTTGCTTTTTTCCAATAGCAATTCCACAAAGTATTTAAGACATGCGGTCTCAGATGTGTGAATGAGCACTGCCTAAAATACACACACAAAGACACAAACCAAGACAGGTAGCCTGCACATTTATGTTAACATGCTACTGAAATTTATTTTTAAATGTCAAATATCATTTAGCGCAGAGTGCAGAGCTGATGAATATGGAGGTTTATACAATGTGAAAAGTAACATTTTTAATATGCAAAGCTTTGTCTGAGCTTTAGAAGAAAAACGATGGAATTTAAATATGATGTTGCTTCCTTCGAAGCATCAGCATAGGGTCCCTTGCTGAACCCTGTAGAAAAGTATCATCAAATTTTGGACCATTCCAATATGGTATTCTTTTACTTCAATGGCTACTATATGGAAAACATGTATAAAGTTTCCAACAGAGTTTCCAACAGACTCATTGTTTCCATAAAGTTTCCAACAGACTCATTGCATTTTAGAACATAAGCCTTTTATCAAGTTAAACTTACTTATGTTGATATTGATTTTGGCAAAATGTAACGAGACCATGTGCTGAAAAATTGTACAATAATAGCTGATGATAATTCACACTGACTACATTTGTATGCAACAAAATGCAGTAATTAATTATTGCAGAAATGTATCTAAGTCAGTTTTGGCCTTATGTGTCTCCTCCCCTTCCTACTTTTACTCCTTCCATGAGAAAGAAACTAAAAACTTCACTTTAAGTCTCTAAAAATGTAGTTCTGTGGACTTATTTCACTATATCCTTTGTAAAGGAATGAAATTATTCCCTACCATATAAATTTAATTGGTTTCCATCAGTTTCCTTCTCCAGTTGTTGGGTGCAAAACATAGCCTATAAAACTAACACTGTATGTGTATACATATTTTAACAGAGGCTTATTTTTAGGAAAAAATTAAAATAACAAGGGTAAAATCTAAAATTCCTTACATTCATCTTATATTTCTATTAACAAACAAATTAAAAATACCTGCAAGGGTGTATCTGGATCCATGACAAAACTGCTGATTTTATTACTCCAAGGGAAAAATTTCTTAGTTTTGGGATCAAGATAATAGTCAAATATTGTACCATGGGATGGGAACTTCACAGATTTCATCTCTTTAAGCCACCACTGGCTGAATTCAGCTTGGTAACTGTAAAGCTACAAAATATTAATTCTGTTATCTAATTGTATCTATTATACTGTACAATCATTTAACTATTCAGTGAACATTTTTTAGGAACATACACCAATATTGTGAAATAATTTAAATGACATAGTATTAAGCATTTTCATTGCTTCAATATAGGAAAATATTTCTGCTGGGGAGAATTGCTTTAGATGATTTTATCCTTAAAAAACTAAACCAGTTACCAAGCAATCTAAATCTGTTGCTTGGGTTTTCTTACAATTAAAATAATGTAATTCCCTTCTTACATTATTTTACTAATCATGAGCATTTCTCAAGAGAATAAGGAAAAATCATTGAATATATATCTCTAATAATTTTTGAAAATTGTTGTGCATGTCTTTTGTGATAAACTGGATACCTATTTGATTACTTCTGTGTTTTTCTAGTATAGTAGTGTACTAGAAGTATTACTGGTGAAAAGGTATAGCATCACACAACTTTCCACATAAACACCTGTGTTAGGTCTATGCAACACTTCACATTCAAAGGAAAACAAGTGTTTTAGACCATATAGGGCTGCAAACGCAGTGCCAGCCTACATTTCCTTCAAGCAGCTGCAGGTATTACATTCAGCCACATTTTTTCCTTTAAAGGCAACATGCTGCATAAAGACCTAATCTACATTATTTCCTCCACACCCCTCTATCTTAGTTATCTCTGATACCAGTTTGACTTCATTCTAATCCCACAAATATCTTGCTCCACTTATGGCCTTGATTGTGTAATTTATTTCTCTTCATCTTACAGCCAAGATATATGAAAAATATACAAGTCAATTCAATTCTTTTTAGCATTTCTAGCAGGCTCATGATCCACTCTGAAATTGGTAATATTATCTCTGACAATGGGGACTGTCCCTAATGTAAACAAGACATTGAATCACTTTATTTCATTCAGCCTCTTTTACTGACTCTGTTGACTGTATTTTTATTGCATAGGTAAAAGACCATATATCAAGAACAGTTTGCTTATCTGAATAAACCCCAACCTTTGGAGTTTAAATAAGCTGATTTCTGCCTACCTCATCTTGAAATAGAGCCCCACCAAATGCCCACACACAGGCAAACGCAAAATATATTTCATATAGGTCTCTAGGTCCATCAGGGGTCAAATTTTCAGGGGTCAGTAGACAGTCAAGGAGAGTACAAAGAGTCTACCAAAAAAACAATAACAACAGGAAAATGGAAAACATTAAATGGGTTGTCTTAGATGGGGAGATAGATCCTATGTGGATTGAATCACTCAATACTGTTGATACGGTGAGCACAAGCAAATGTCCTATAAAATAAGAAACTATTCTATAACAAGGAGGATTATTCAGCTTAATTTCATGCAGCATTCAAACTAATTTCAGGCAAAAGTTATTGGTTTTTTCCTTTTCCCCTGACAAAGCGCTCAGCATGAAGGAATGAAAAACAGAGAGAGAGAGAGAATAACAGCATAAAGAACCTGACATCAAACTGTAGGTGTACAATCTGTGGCCTTCCTGTTTCATGTTTGTTGTTATGGATCCTTCTAAGATTGTGTCACTGAATTCAGTAGTAATTTGCTAATTTTCTGCAGTACAATTGTTCTTTTTCCAAAACACAAATGGGTAGCATAACTCTGTTTTGAGCTTAAAATTCCAAACCCCATGTTTTAAATGCAAAATTACAGTTCTCCATTTTCTAATGACATCACTCTTTCATACTGATACTGAGGCCCTCAAGGCCTTTTTTTAAAAAATGTAGTCTGTCTACAAAAAATTTCCTGGTCCTGGTTTATGTCCAGAGAACATTATTCCAACAGGGAAAAAAAATCCCTACACCTAAAGAACAGGGAACAAGCTCAGAGATTCCATACAGGAGTCTTTTTGAAATCACCATGCAAAGCATGTGCTCTAGCACTTGGTTCCATAACTGGACAATTATATCATTCAACTTGATTGTAATACTGTGTATAGCATAAGTTTTTTCCCCCCTATACAGTCTGAAATAACAATACATGTGTGCTACTATAAATCCTGGATAACAAAAACAATGTATTTTTGTTGTGAGCTGCCCAGAGATGCTTAAGATGGGCAGCCATATAAATCTTTTAAATAAAGAAATAAATTTCTATCTCATTCTGCCTTCCAGAGGAGCCCAGAGCACTATACAAAAGAACAATAAAAATATTGTTATATAAAAAAAAACCAAATAAAACCAACTATCGTAAAATATCAGAAAGTTAGTAAATAAATTACATTTCAGAGAAGCCTTCTGAAATGCACTCTGGTCCTGAAGCAGCTTTTGTCCTTCAAATGTCTAGGTGAACAGACATATAGTCTAAAAGAAGAAAACATGGGGATCAAATGTACTTCCCTTGAATGAGAGTGATAACTGGGGCACTGCCATTGAGGAGATCTACTCCTGGCTACCACACTATGAATTGCACATGACCTCCACAGCTCATCTTAGTACATGAATTGAAAGGAACTGGAGGAAGCAATATTTGCCAACTGAAACTTGTCTTTAATACCACCTATATTTCTCGGGACAAACTGAAATCAAAGAGAAACCCCATAGTACACACCTGTTCCTAGCAGCCTGCCTTCCCTGACTTGAGAACTATTTATCCATGGTACTCCCACCTTATCTGGATTCAGTTTAGTTTCTGCCCCTCATTCCATTCATCACTTCCTCAAGACAGCATGACTTCTTTTGATTCAAGACACCATATCCTAAATCTCGATTACCACTCCAAAGGCTTTATGTAAATATTGATCATCAGAGAAGAAAGCCAAGAACCTGGTGGGTCCCCATAACAGAAACCTCTCATAACCACTTTTGAGAGGTAGTCCTGAGGTAGGAATATAACCATTATAACCCAGAAACTACCTGGACTGTTCAGGTGGATATCATGATGGGAACATTTATTGCCTCTCTGCCTGTATTGATTCTAAATCTTTACAATTTCCCACAAAAAGTTACTTCACACATCAGTATAATATAATTGTCTTTTACTGCATGTTTTCCACAGCCATGAGGATAGGCTAGTTCTCAATAAGAGATACTTCCCTATTTGTACATAATTTTAGTTAATTAGCTATGTATTACTATATTAATTAAATCTGATGCAGATTTACATTGCAATAATTTCCACTGAAATCATATAGTCATATATTTAGGGGGTGGTGATTTATGGACTTGTTTTGCATGTATAACTGATACCAACATTGTAAAGGAAATGCATAAATTATACATCAAAATGTGCCTTATGCACAGTTGTTTTTAAAAGCATTGGTCAATAGATATTCAAGGATTTTCTTCTGAACTTGGCTTCTTTTATCCTGTTCATGTTACTACAACAAAAGAACCCTTTTCTATGTCAACACAATATGTTGAGAAAACATATTGAACGTTATGAATGAAAGAAATGTAAATAATAAATGTCTGCACAATTAAAGTCATACCTGCACCATGCTATTCTCAGAGATGGGAATTATCGTTTTAAAGTTTGTTCTGAGTTGGTCCAAACACAGAGGAACGTATTTATCAAAGAGAATAGTCAAATTTGCTTTTTCAGATTGATCTCTCCTTGATTCTATCCAGCTTGCAACATATCTGGAAAAGAAAAACCCAGTGATTTCTCCAAAGACCCATGTGTCACAATATAGAGGCTAACAACAATTTTCCATGCTAGGAAGGCATAAGGGCATCTGTTCAATTAGCTTATTGATAAATATATTTGATAGATAAGTAAATAAATAAATAACCAAGCAAGCAAGCCTTTGGGTGCAAAGTAATATCATCTGGTTCCTAAAGCACTAGCTGTAAATCCCTGTCTGAATACTTTAAAGCTCAGCAATATTGTATTCATAGGTATCTTCTTGGGTGTCCATCAGTGTCTTTCTGACTTAATTTTTAAAACAATGATTTTAATTGAAAAAAAAAATAGTTAATGGAAAGTTGGCATCCTGCAAAACAAAATGCCAGACTCTAGAATCGTATTTATGTAAGAATATTTCTGGGCTTCATGTAGGCCATATTGGGTATTCCTGAGGAAAACAAAAACATTGGCTGCAATAGGGTGCTTTGTTCATCTGCCCAGAAAAAAAGGCAAAGGTCATCTGAGAAGTGGCAGGCAGGGCCCTGGAAGCTTAAAGAGGATGATGGCAAGGTTCCTCACACTCAGCATGGGAACAATTTTGTGAACATATAACCCTTCTATGGCTGCAATTTTATTAAAGCATCTCTGACATAGTCTCAAAATTTCAAATGTCTCCAGTCTTCCTTTCAGCAATCAGACAATATTATTGAACAAATTTCTGATTTGCAATAATACTGGAGCATGTTTTAAAGAAAATCCCAAGCAGCACAATATACTGAGGGTGAATTAAATAAATAAACATAATTTAATCTGCTGAAATATTTATAATCTGCTTTTCAAATAAAAAGCTTCAAGATGACTAACACAGCAGTATAAAATTAAATCAATTGGAAAATATATCTTATAATACATAACAACAACACTGAGCAGAGAAGCAGAAAAAGGCCATAAGAAAAGAGAACCAAAAAGCATTTTGGATAACAATTGTCTTGGGCTTGTAATTTGGTGACATTGCATATTTCATATTGAAATTAAAAGGTCTTATGCAAGAATAAGTCCATAGAGATTACGTACGGATTCCAACCAAGATCCTGTGGATTTACATACAGAATGCCTGCTCTTGACACTGTAGCAGGGGTGGCTGTTTTCAGATGGTGAATCTCAAACAGCAGTCGCATTGATGGAGTCAGAGGGACCCGTTCGTTGCTGGCGAGAGTCAGCACCTACAAATGTATAGAATAGGATAATGTTACTCTCACAGTAAAACCCACTGCATTCCTTTTTATAGCGATCAGCTAATTGCTATTTTTTAGAGTTCAGTTCATGTTTAAGGATCCATTATAAATGCAATACATCTTGAGGTGCATAAATATTTTTTTATATTTTGGAACACACAAAGCCACAATCAGTTACAAAGAATGCTATCAACTTCCATGGGAAGGATACAGCAGAAGCTAATATTTAAGGTTCTGATTAAATACTTCAAAAAGTAGAATTAGTTGTACATGGTTTGTAATCTCTTAATTTAAAAAACTGCTGATCTCCACATACAAAAAAAGTTCTAATTTATGTAAAAGATATTCTCTCAGTGCATATAGATCTACACCAGCAATAGGTCATCGGTTCTTCAGATGCTTTGGATTATCACTCCCACATAAGCCTTTGGTTATACTGGTTAAGATCAATAGGAGCTGAAGTACTAAATCTCTGGAGTATGCTTGATCATGGATTCGTAATCTGGGCTAAAGGATCGATTCTGAAGTGGACTTCTGAAGGAAGAAATGACAGACAAAACAACTCTGTGAAAAGTGGAATAACAAAAAACTGGTGAGTAAACCAGCTCTTCAAATCTCTCCGGACAAAGAGAGGATGGGAGATTGCCCAAAAGTGCTCCAGACAGTTGCTCCTTGCAAGGAGACTGCAAGTCAGAGGTCTCTGGCAGGTTTGGAGCACTAGGAGATGAGCCATCTTGCTCAAACCACAGTCAGCGCCTTTAAAAGGACACTAAATTTGCATACTTCCTTTTCTAATCACATTTGGAAATTGCTTGTTAACTACTTTTCAGCTATTAGAGACCTTTGGATCAACAAGTCTGAAAACACCAGATGAATCTGCCTTCAATCCTTAATGGAAGAAAAATTTAACTACAAGCTTAAGAACTTAAAAAATTGAAATAAACGGCAAAAAGCTAATTAAGACTTTGATTTTAGAAAGTTATAAAGGGTCCAGATAAATTTGAAATAAGTTTTTGGAATTAATTATAAAGAATCCATCCTGTGGGAAAGTGGAATTTTGTTTTGAATTTTTTCTAAGACATAAAAGAGAGAAACAATTTTAAATATTGGACGCTAGAGGGAACTAAAGATTTTAATTAAAGGAGAAAAATACATAAACCTGATTAACAGCTATAGAATGACGCAAAATATTATAACATTGGAAATACTGAAGGACACTTTTTAAAAATGGAATCAGAAGTTAATATCAACCATGTCAATAGCAATGTTTGCTTTTATGGATAGACTGTGTCCAAAAGGTGTTTTGGAAGAAATGGCAGAAAAGGAACAAGTTGTATCTGACAAGCCAGAGTTGACACTGAAAGTGAATCTACAAATGACAGGCTATAAGAATTACATGGAAAAGTTTTTCTTATTGGACATACAAAAGAAATCTGTTGATGCTTTAAAAATCAAAAGGGATTTACAAATAATAAACCAAGAGAGTGACCTGGATAATTCTTTTATATTGGATTTACAAAAGAGGTTTGTTAAAGCTTGGGTGAATCTAAACCAAGAGAGTGACCTGGATAATTCTTTTATATTGGATTTACAAAAGAGGTTTGTTAAAGCTTGGGTGAATCTAAACCAAGAGAGTGACCTGGATAATTCTTTTATATTGGATTTACAAAAGAGGTTTGTTAAAGCTTGGGTGAATCTTATGAGAAGGGGCAAAAAAGAAATGAAAAGAAATCAAGCTCTAAGACATTACTGGAATGGACTAAAAATTAAGACTGTTAGAAGTAAAAGGAAGCAATATAAAGTTGGCTTATTTGATCAAGGTTAAAATAGATATGTTATTTCTGGTAACCCTTAATGGACTTTTGCTGACATCGGGACTAAAATGACGATGCTTTATGGATTTGTTTATAGATGGGACATGGATGAAGAGATCATTGTTTGTAAATAAATATGAGATGAAAAGTTACTAAAATTGTTTATATTTGTTGTGATGAAGGTTGGAAGTCACTTCTTTATGTATTTCTTTTCTTTTTTTTTACTATATTCTTACTTTCTTTTCTCTTTTTTTCCTTCCTTCCTTCCTTCCTTCCTTCCTTCCTTCCTTCCTTCCTTCCTTCCTTCCTTCCTTCCTTCCTTCCTTCCTTCCTTCCTTAGTTTTTACCATTGCAATTATAATATTTAAGTTTTTTTTTAAAGGATCAATTTTGTAGTTATAGAAAATCCTGAATTCCCACCAGTTCAACAAATTATAAGACAATTTGGACTTATGTACCTCTTAATTCCCTTTTCTTCTCTGGCAAGTACTAGTACTAGGAGACTGTTTAATTGCAGAAATTAATGTTAACAAGGTCAGTTTCCAGTACCTCCAAACTCATAAAACCAGGCTTGCTTTACCTCAGCTTAGTCATCAATGCAGAATAAGGAAGTATAGGATTCCTAGTTGTTTTTAAACAAAACGGAGTTTTGAAAAGCTGCAGTTACTCAAGTTTCAATGTAATGAGAAACCATTTTGCTTCAGAAGAAGAAAAAGAGTTCTAACTGGCTGTTCACAGAAGAGAACAAGAAAGTTTCATTGGACCTCAGCCACATAGTGAAAGCATTTAACAGGGAAAAAAACCAAAAGAAAATGAATATTGAAGAAAAAATGAGAATGTGTGTTCTTGTGCTCACCTTGTTATCATCCATAACAGTATTGAGTGATTCAATCCACATAGGATCTATGTCTCCATCTAAGACAATCCATTTTGGCCAATTATGGCACATATTAGCTTGCTCTCTCAAAAGAGAGGAGAAGAGTCCTGAAAAATGCATATAAATAGGTTTTGATAATAATGTTTAAATGATGAAAAACAAGTTTCTATCTCAGATGCAAAAGAATCTGAAAATGTACCCAAATATTTTCATGCATGCACATGAGTTTTCCTAAAGGCTTGTTCCAAACATACACTTAACTTGGAGAGCAAGATCCAAAACTGAATTATTGTGTGGCTAGTTTAAGTAATTCTGTGGTGGCTGAAAGAAAATTATATCTGCTCTCTAGTTGTGTATCACAATACAGTGAGGTTGTATTGGTATGTGGATACATTTAGATAATGCTTTGGCATCAAGGAAAGAACATATGGGGTATATGCAGAAGGTAGCAAGTATGAAATTTAACGATCTACATATGAAGAACAAACATTTTGGACTACCATATTTGAAAGACCATATTCTCTTCTATGAAGTATTCAGTGATATGTAATCTTCAGATGTACCATATGAAAGAGGACTTTATCTGTAGCATTGTCTATAGCATCATCTATAGGCATTAAACAGCAAATAGTAACTGTTTTCTCTATGCTGATATTATTATTCTAGTTTGTTTTAAATGATGTTTTGCTTATGTTTTTTTGTCTAGATGTTTATTGATGGATATAGCTGAAGATTAAAAAACTGGCAAATAGAAAAATAGCATGTCATGGAGTGAATTCTTTTAACATGCTACTTATGTACACAAATGTAATTTGTTTTTTCTTTATAGAGAAAATATTGAAGCATAGTCCTCTATTCATTTGTAGTGGGAAATAGTACAGCTTTCAGAAAGCTGTATCCTGGCATTTATCCTGTGTAGTTTGGCCATGTGTATCCTGATGTCCAAACTTAATAGTTTGGGAAAAGCCCAAGGGTTGCAATAGGTAAGCTGATGATGTAAAATATGTAGCCTCAGGATTTTCTGGTTTTTGTTTCCTGGATTTGGGGAGAAGGTTTTTTTATATTCATTTTTAAAACCATGTTCAGTCTATTTTAATAGTCACATTTGAATGTTTATGGGTTTCACATCTTACAAACATGGACATTACTCCACTGATTTTCAGCAACTGGAATCATATTGGACTACAAATATGAGTTTGGGGACAACCTTGATTCCACAGATTCCCCTTCCCTTGTAAGAGAGTAATGTAACTCTATTCATCTAGGCATGGTTTCAAATAGTGTGAAGAAAGGTAAAAACAACAGGACTTAAAAAGGTACGGAAATTGCAACTCCCAGAATTTTTACCCAACATATCACTGGCTGTACTGGCTGGTAGTTAAGGGTAGCTGTGTCCCAACACATCTAGAAGCCATCAGGTTGGGGAAGCTGGTATTAAAATCAGCATAATAAATCATGTAATCATATATTTTACTTGCCATCTTTCCATTCTCTAGTAGCATGATGTATGAACCCAAAGAGCTCATCAGTAGTCACAGCCTTGGGGTTCAAATCGTTCCAAACAGGCTTCTGCTTCATGTTCATATAAGTCTTATTCAGTGTTTTCAGAATCTGTTGAATAGCAAGGAAAGAAAACTGAAAGTTAAATTTGGGGGGAAAGGGTTCTTTTTAATGTAAATAATGAACATTTCTATAGAATCTTAGGTAAAATGTTTTGATTTTTGCAGCCAATTTTAGAGGCCAGCTTTGAAGGACTTAAAGAAGAAACTTGAAGGACTTGAAGAAACATTAAGCATGGCAACAGATCTACAACTTTTCCCACAAATCTAGAATTATAATTCTATATCTTCTAGTTTTTCTCATGATTCTTTTGCATTCACATCTGCCAACATTATTTCTGTTCACATTTTAATAGTGCTTCATTAGCTTGCAAGACTTGCTTGATTAGAAATGACAATGGGACAGAAACAATTATGCATAAAAATGTTTCTACCATACTACAAAATGACTGGATTTTTCATATTAGTTTCATTTAGAGACTAAGCAGGAATAATGGGGAAATGACAAACATAAAAATATTGTTCTTCAGGAAAATCAGAGATAACCGATAAATCAGAGTTCAGTAGGCTATCACTTCCCCTAAAAAGCTCTCCTAAATTGTTAACAATTTTATCTCAGACCTGCTC